ACAACTTAATTATTGTATTACAGCTGTTTTTACTACAATAATATTTTATAATTATGATTCAGTCTTAAAATAACTTTCTAATACCTCTGAATAGCCGCCATATTTAACAAAAACCTAAGACAGTTTTAAAGCTAAATCTACTGTCGGTTTTACTAGTATTTAAGACAAAACCAATGTTAATTAAAGATTTTAATCATTAGTAATATTAGTATAATCTTATTACTAAAAAAAATCAAATTGTATAAATTTAATTTTTGTTTCACACTGAAAAAGTATTAGAAATATTAATCAAACTCGAGGCGCTTAAAAATTTAGTATTGCATGTGCTATATAATTAACAGTAATTCTTGCTGCGCATCCAAAAACGACTTTATTGTAAGTCATACATTATGTCTAAACCGCGTTATAGATATCTCTTAAGTAGATACTGCCATTTTACTAATATCGCCTTGAATTTACTTTTATGACAAATATAGAAATAATTTGTTTTCACCAGATACATTTAAAAAACTAAAATGTTACTGATTTTGATATGCAACCTTACCTCAAAATTGAAAATTTATAAAACAGTTATAAAAGTTTAAAAAAACATTTGTTTAAAGTCTGTGTAAATTTGTAGTAACTGTTCGGTAACTGCATTCAACAAATCTTATAGAATTTACAAAAGAACCAAATAGTTCTGTAATACTGCGCCCATTTTGTGTTTATTAGTGTTGAAAGAATGTTCCGGAAATGTTCTTAGCTAATATTCTATTTTATAAATTTTGTTCTGTAAACATTTTTTCAGCTTTTATAAAATATCAAATTGTTACTTGGGTGGTATAGATAGCAATACTCTTAAGGAAACACTTAGGTTTGGGGCACAATTTAACATTGTTAATAATTTTAGAACAGTTCCTGAGGTTTCTTCTTGGCCTATAAGCCCAGATTTTGCAAGTCCGTTAAGTTAAGATGGCGGACCGGCTGGACGTGGTCGATGTCGGTCCAGATAAAAATTTTCTTTTCTGTACTAAAAAAATATCAAAAGGTGTCAAATGTATTAAATGTGATATAGTTTTCCATTTAAGTTGCTTTCAACGTAAAACATGCTGTGATAAACAACAATTTTTAACAAAAAAGTTGATGGACGCCGAAGAAGAAGTGAAATATACCGATTCGGAGTTTATCGCATAAAAAGTAGAAAATAAATATAAGTATTAAAGAACTATTAAATGAATTAAAGGAGAAAAATGAAATACTTAAAATAAAAAACAATTTATTAACTCAAAGAATACATGAACTTGAACAGAAAATCGATGAAAAAAGTCAGAAGGATGAAGAAGAAAAAGCTACAAAAACATATTCAGATACCATAAAAAAAGGTAAACAAAACGGCAAAAGCAAGTGGAAGTGACAGTAGCTCAGCAGCCGAAAGCCGTGAATATACGCAGAAAGAAATTACGAATGTTGCTGGAGGACACAGAAATGAAGGGCCAAACAGAAATTCTAAGAATAAAAAAGAAGAAAGACATTTTGACAAGGTTAAGAATCAAGATAAAAATAAACCAACAAATATTATCCAAGAACAAAGTAAAATGCAAGAAAATGTAATTCAACTAAATAATGATACAAAACCGAATCAAGATGGATGGGAAATTAAACAGAGAAGAGTGAGGAGTTCAAGAAAAAATGTGGGCGAATCGAACGAGAACACTAATTTCAAGGGTGCTACAAATAATAAACCAAAGTGTTATATGTACATCTACAGAGTAGGAAAAGAAGTGAATGAAAATGATATCACATCTTTCATAGGAAACAAACTAAACATACAGCAGAATAATATGAAACACAGCGAGCAAATTATTATAAAGAAAATTCAGTGCAATAGTATAAATACAATAAGTTTCATAGTTGCCACAGACTTTAGTCACAAGGATAAAATGTATACTCCTTCTTTCTGGCCTGAAGGGGTATGCTATAGAAGATTTGATTTTAAAAAATATTATGAAGATTTTAAAATCAGAGATGTTATCAATGACGATGGAGGCAATATAGGAAATTCTCAAGGATCGGGAATCTGAAAATCTGCCCAGTCGAAAGTGATTACGTAAAAGATGTAATTGGAAAAAGACAAATTGGAAATGAATGTGAAAACCAAAATAATTTAAATATTTCTCATTTGAAAGCAGTGATGTCTATCATGCACTTGAATATTCAGGGTATGACAGACAAAAAAAATCCCTAACTAGAAATATTACTAGATAAGCAGTCACCTGACTTCTTATGTGTTTCGGAACATTGGCTCAATTCAACATATATAATAATAATAATAATAATAATAATAATATTTATTCAGGAAGCAGAATCCATATACATAAAATAGTGAAACACAAGAAGTTTTAACAAAAATACAAGGATTATCTACTATACTGAAAAGGAACCGTATTCATCGTAGCCTATCAGAAGACAGACTAAAATTGTTTTCAATACGCCCGGCAAAATTAATAGTTTAAATATAAACGCCCCTTAAATGTAGTACATATATAAATACATAACGGATACACATAAAAAAATGAAAATTGTAATTAATAACAAAGATATCATAAATACCTACCTAGTCTAGTAAACGAAGCTCAATGAAAATTAGTGAACGTTGCTTCAAGCAATAAATATAAAAATATACAAAGATCAATCAAATAATCACAAATTAATATTTATATTTTAAAATCGATCAAAAGCTGTCCCCGAAGTAACAAAAATTTCAACTTATTTTTAAAAGTTACATGACTTAATTTTTTAAACTCTGTTGGTATAAGATTCAAGATACGGCCTATTAAATATGAAAATGAACTTTTGAACATAGCAGTGGAATGTCGAGGAATGGATATATCATCCTTTCTGCGAATATTAATATTGTGTACATCGCTCCTGAATCTTATTTTGTTATACAAGTAGGGGGGAGTTTTAAGATTGACAATTTTTCGATAGAGACAACAGGTGTGTAAAAACGCGCTTCCTGAACAGATAGCCAAGACAATTCAAATCGCTTAGCTGACACTCTTTGCCTTTTTTTTAAATTATACACTAATCTAATACAAATATTTTGCATGCGTTGAAGACATTGACTATCATATCGTGTTACACAAGGGCCATATACCGAATCGCAATAATGCATATGTGAAAATACTAGTGATTCGCACAACGTACGTTTAGCTTGATGAGTTAAGATGTATTTATTTGCATATATCATTTTTATGTTAGTCATACATTTTTTTATAATCTGATTTACGTGTTTTACAAACCGTAGATCCGTATCTAAAAATAAGCCCAAGTTTTTTGATATTTCCGAAGTAGGTAAAGTTTCATTATTTACTATAATCTTAAATTGATCCTTATATTGAAGTCGACAGTGCTTTCGACCAAACAGCAAGGTTTTTGATTTAGAAGAATTTATATCAAGGCAGTAGTCATTAGATAATTGAAAAAGTGCCGTTAAATCCCTAGTTATATTTTTAATGTTATTATGAAAGTTTTATTAGAGAGTTTGTATCGCAGATACGCTTTTTTTTCATTGTTAACAGCTCTATTTGTAAAGTTTCGTAAAAGTTTGTAATAGTCCCAATGTGCTTCTCTCTTAGTCCGCTTAAAACGTCTCAGAGCATTATCGCGCAACTTGAAGAGTAATTTTATATTATCCGTTATCCACGGCTTGGACTGCTTATTCAGAACCACCGAGTGAATTGGGGCGAAAGTGTCAAATATTTGCAAAATAAGTGTTGTGAGTATATTTACTTTAGAGTCAATATTATTAGTGAGCAGGATATTTTCAAACGGAAGCCTGCGTAGCTCAGTTTCGAATAACATTTTATCAATTTTTTTAAAGTTACGGTACCTAATCTTGTTAACTATTTCGGTTTTAGAATCAATAAGAATATTCGTTTTAACCAGACTGTGATCACTTTTTATTTCATCGTGCAGTACGTCACAATCACAAACGTTTATGCTGTCAGTGCATACTACTAAGTCTAGTAGCGTTGCAGACGTTTTAGAAATGCGTGTCGGTTGAGTCACATATTGAGTTAGTCCAAAGCTTTCTAACAAATTATTTAAATGTCGAGAAGCAGCCGTGTCGCTCAACAAATCAATGTTAAAATCACCTGTACATATTATATTTTCATGTGAAGCTAAAACATTCATCATAACATTTTCATAATCTCTAATAAATTCTAAAAGCGGCTGTTTAGGTTGACGATAAATGACGCCAATGACATAGGACTTTTTATCGATAATAAATTTTAACCACAATTGTTCATAACAAATGTTATCATCAAAAAACTCTTCAATCTCCGATACCTGCCAAGAGGAATTAATATAAACAGCTACTCCACCCCCAACTGTATCACTTAGCCTGTCTCGTCTGAATAAATTGAAATTGTTTATTAAGACGGCATTATCCAGTATATTTTCATTGAGCTTGGTCTCAGTTACACAAATTATGTCATATTTTTGTATTTCTATATGCTCTCTCAGTTCTACAATTTTCGCTGCTAGATAATTAATATTAATACAATCTGCCATACCAACTTACTTTATAAATAAAAAAAATAACGTAAACAAAGAAAAAGAAAGAATAAATAACCCAGAGATATTCAAGAAACGAAGATGTACCTAAATACTACTATTGAAAATAAACATATTTAAAAGCATTTTAGGTTAAATAAATTTGAACTAATTAATAGCTATTCTAGGGATGTCGCTACACATGGGGGTGTCTGTATATTAGCAAAAAATGGCATCATAAGTAAACCAGTTATGTTTAAAAAATGCAGTAAAAAGTTGTTTAAGGCTACCATAATAAAGGTTGACATTTTTGACAAAAAAACTAAACTATTTTAACGTTATATAATTAATCAATTATTATAAATATTATGAAATAAACAAAGTTCCGGCTGCAAACTCTTTCTAATTATTAAAAGCAATAAATCGCTAAGATCCATAATATAGTTTTATTAATTTGCACGTCTGAACAAGCGTTGCGGACGGGACGGCGGCCGGCGTGGCAACGACAGGTCTCGACGCGTTGTACTGAATATGGAATATGCATGTTTTTACGAGTAACAGTCGCTGAGCTTCCTAAAACATTATCTGCCTATATTGATAAGAGAAGTCAAACCAACATTTTTAGTAACTAAAATGTTGACTTTTTATATTATAAACAGTTGAAGTTTTTTACAAGAATTTCTTCATCGCATGGAAAAATGAGTAATCAATTGTTTAATAGTATATTGCTTCATTATCGAAACCAAATTAATTTTCATGCACCTCCGCTTACCATTGTGGGCCCCCATTTTTATTATGCATAACGTAGACCCCCGTCGAGTTTGCCGTGGCCCTCTGGGGGTCCACCTAGACCACTTTGGGAAATTTTTGCTAGGGTATTCTATTTCTGCTGGCATCTATCGGTGATCTCCGCCTTGCATGTATCTTCCATGTCCTCTCTAACCATCTGTTTTACGAATTTGTGTCCGTTATTGGGATAGTTGGTTACCGCTAACGCGTCCAAAGAAACAGTCTTGTACACACCGGTGACCTTTAGGAGGATTTTCCTCTGCGTGGAGTAGTTAGTGTTGTTTTAATAATTTATACAATATTTACTATTTGTTAATACTTTATTGTACAAGTAATTTTTTATTAGGTATTACACCTTACACCATGTGTTTTATATTAACCTTACTTACTAAAGTAAACAAATTGACATTCTATGTCATTATAATCAATGATGTATGGATCACTGGATTACCTATTTATCAACACTTCCCTTTAATCCAGTGATTAGTCAATACATATCAAAATTTTTAATACAAAATTGATGCTTAAAACTATTTAGACCTTTTGTCAATACATCAGCTATCATTTTGTCAGTTGGTACAAAATCAATTATAATTATGCCTTTTTCAATGACCTCCCTGACATAATGATACTTTGTATCTATATGCTTAGTTCTACCATGATATATAGGATTCCTTATGAGTTTTTGAGCACTTTGACTATCATTTAAAAGTAATAAAGGTTCAGTTTGCTCTATAAACTCATTATGGAGACCTACAATAAAAACAGCCTCTTTAGTAGCTTTTCTGTCATCGCTATATATTCCGCTTCTGTACTGGAAAGCGCAACACATGATTGTTTTTTAGATTCCCAGGATACTGCAGCATTAGACATTATAAAAATGTATCCTGAGTATGATTTTCTATCATTCATATCATTAGAAAAATCAGCATCTACATAGCCAACAATATTTTTATCATTTTTAAAGAAAATTAGACTCTTATCCATAGTTCCTTTCAAATATTTTAAAATTCTTTTAGCATGTTTAAAATGTTCATGACCAAAAGAATTATTAAATTGACTTAAGTAACTAATACTATAACAAATGTTGGGTCTTGTATGAACAGCTAAATACATTAATGACCCTATTAAATTTTGATATGTAACCTGAGGCTTTTCATTATTATTTGGTTTTAATTTTAAACCTACTTCAATTGGAGTCAAAACAGTTTTAGCATCATTTAAATTAAAGTTCTAAAATATATTGTTTTTGGTTAACTTTAATCATATTATTTTGTTTATCATGCTCAATGTTTAATCCCAAAAAATATTTTACTGGTCCTAAATCTTTGAGCTTAAAATGTTTTGACAATTCTTCTTTAACATAATTTTTTAAAATTGAACAATTTGAACACAGCAAAAAATCATCAACACATAAAGCAATATTTATTATAGATTTTTTATCATTTTTAAAGAAAATACATGGCTCATACTTTGATTGTTTAAAATTTAACTCAAATAAAATATTTTTAACTTTTAAATTCCAAATTCTTGACGACTGTTTTAAGCCATATATTGCCTTTTCAAGTAAGCATACCTTATCCTCATTATCAACAGATATAAATCCTTCTGGTTGAACCATATAAATTTCTCCATTTAGAAAAGCTGTTTCAATATCTAACATTAATTCTACTGACAATGCAAATAAAATTCTAATTGTTGAGTTTCTTACTACTGGTGAATACGTTTCATC